AAGGAAAAAGTCACACAAGTTCCAGGAGAAGGGAATAGAGAATGTGTTTGAAAAAATAATGGCAGAATACCCTAACATAGTAAAGGAAAAAGTCACACAAGTTCCGGAGTCACAGAGAACCCCAAACAAGAAGAACCCAAACAGGCCCATGCCCAGACACAGCATAATTAAAATACCAAAAATTAAAAACAAAGAGAATCTTAAAGGCAGCAAGAGAAAACTGTTACCTACAAAGGAGTTCCCATAAGACTGACACCTGATTTCTCATCAGAAACTCTACAGGCCGGAAGAGAATGGCATGAAGGACTCAAGATAATGGAAAGCAAGGATCTGATACCAATATTACTATATCCAGCAAGGCTACCATTCACAATAGACCATCAAAAAAAGAGCTTCCCAGACAAAAAAAAAAAAAAAAGACTAAGAAAGTACAGCACCACCAAGCCAGCAATACAAGAAATGCTAAAGGGACTGCTGTAATGAGAAGAAGAAACAGAGAGAGAAACATAGCCATACAGAATTAAAATGGCTATAAATAAGTATCTATCAATAATAACCCTAAATGTAAATGGATTAAATGCTCCAATAAAAAAGACGTAGGGTAGCTGAATGGATACAAAAACATGACCTAACTATATGCTGTCTACAAGAGACCCACCTCAAAACAAAAGACACACAGATGGTAAGAGTGAATGGATGGAAAAAAAATTTTCCACGCTAATGGAAAAGGAAAAAAAAAGCTGGAGTAACAATGCTCATATCCAACAAAATACACTTTAAAATGAAGGCTATCACAAGAGACAAAAAAGTCACTATATAATACTAAAGGGGTAAATCCAACAAGAGGATATAACTCTGGAAAATATATATGCATCCAAAATAGGAGCACCTAAATACATATATATGACTTCTAGAGGACTTTAAAGGAGAGATTGACAACAACACAGTCATAATAGGGGATTTTAACATCCTTCTGACTTCACTGGATAGATCTTCCAGACAAAAACGTAAGAAAACAGTGACTCTAAAGACACACTGGATCAGATGGATTTAATTGACATTCATAGAACATATCACCCCAATGCAACAGAATATACATTCTTCTCAAGTGCACATGGATCATTCACAAAGATGGACAACATGTTAGGACACAAAACAAGTCTCTACAAGTTCAAGAAGATTGAAATCATATCAAGCATCTTCTCAGATCATAGTGGATAGAAATCAAAATACAGTAAAAACACCCAAAAACATTCAAACATCTGAAGGCTAAATAGCATGTTATTAAACAATGAATGGGTTACCAATGACATCAAGAAAGAAATCAAAAAACTTCCTGAAAAAAAATGAAAATGAACACACAACAACCCAAAATCTCTGGGACACAGCAAAAGCAGTCCTGAGAGGGAAATTCGTAGCACTACAGGCATACCACACACAAAAAAAACCCAACAACGACAGTAATAAACACGTATACTCCTCGAACTATTTCAGAAAAACCAAGAGGAAGGAACACTTCCAAACTCTTTTTTATAAGGCCAGCATTATCCTAATTCCAAAACCAGATAAAGACACTA